TTTTCATCTTACCCTGCAGGTTTTCTGTAAATTGTATGTTGCATTCACACAAACCTTATTTTGTCCACTTAAATGAAACTCTACTTTGTCTAGAGAGTCCAGTTAGTTTGGGGAGTTGTGAACACGTAATTGAACTCTGACACGGACCAAAAATGCAAACTGTGCTTTGCCTAAAAACCTCTGTCTCAGTTGGGTTGAAGTGAACTTTGGAGTGATTCTAAAGCATATGTGAACGCCAAGCAGACAGTAGATGGCTCCAAAAGCAGAAAATTGACTGAAGCACAGTGCATTCTGAGTAAATGTATCCAAAGCAAACATGCAAGTTTAGTGCTATTGGGAAAAATTGCTGGTGGTCTTTTGCTAAAGACAAAAGAGAAATCCTACATCTGCTAAAATCTGACAGCCCTCCATATTGAACATTTTGTGAAGAAGGAAGTTGTGCTCTTGTCTTCTTCAGAGGTTTTTATGTCATTTCCTTTAGCGTCCTCACAGGCGAGAGGGGGAACAGATTTGACCAAAGGTTTGGTACATTTGACACATTTCAGTGTGAAAGTGAAACACAGCAGCTGAAAATATAACAAATGTTGCAACTTTGATCCCCAATTGAACCAAGTCTACCGGCCAATCAGGTGAAAACATTTTTAGATCTGTAGACTGAAATCCACCAGTAAGATGGAAGACATTTCATTTTGTGTGTGGTGAAGCATTTCTTTATCAATGTTTTGAGTTACTATCTTGCCCAAGGATCCAGGGACAAACCATTTTTACTTTTCATTATAGATCTATAGATCTGCCACCATACTTATTGGACATGAGGTGCTTTTCCATATATATATATCCTTTGATGCCCTAATTTTGATGTAACCTAATAAAATTTTGTGTACATGCGGGCGTATTTGTAAATTGGCTTTAATATGCAGATAATTGTGAGCCAAATGCAACCTGTATCATCCAACACGTCAATCCTTCGGATAGGGCAGAAAACAGCAAAAAATTATTCTTGGTAATTCACTGCAATTCGGAGCTGTGCTAAAAACCTTACCATTATTTCTAATGAGAAACTCTCAATCTTCGCTGTTATGTTGAAGAGCTGGCAGCAAGGCGGCCTGTGATAGAAATGCTGAGTTCACCCAAATCTCCCTGAGGCCATCAGACACACAACGAGACAGATACTGATTGGGAGGTGGGTGTAAAGGAGGGAGGTTTGGGGGTGGGGGGTGATTGCAAGGCAGTGCCATAGTTAATCACAGCTCCCATTACTCAGAGCCCCTGTGCCACAGGACATGCAGAGTCATGTGTACCTCCTGAAACACGCCGCCACTCATAAAGGATTCAGATCATAAACTGTATATTTTTTATCACTCTTATTCCCTTTCTCTGTTTAATCTGCTAGATTGTTGTCACAGGTATTGTAAGCACTTTTAGCAAGCACTACATAAAAATGTCCCCCTCCAAATGTCTTTGTAAATTCATCTGTACATCTGTCAGTACTCTAAAAATTAATCACTGGAAGTATTTGTAGGAGCCGTAGAAAGTCCCAGTTTTGACTTTTAAGTAGATGAAAAAAAAAAAAAAACTGTGGGGTCATTGAGGTTTACATTATGACTTTATTGTAATCAGCAAATTGTATATTTTACATGTATAAATACATGTCAATATTAATATAGTTAATAGAAGTAAGTTATAGTAGTCTGAATACTTCGCCTTATTAGACCAACACATCCAAATTGAATATAGCACAATTTATTTAGCCATAAGCAGCAATTTAAGATAGATTACAAATATTAATATGGATATATTCATATGCACCCATGCCACTGGGCCTGATTCATCAGCTGGCTACCAGTTCAAGAGAGGGTAAACAGTCCATGCTCGACCTCCAGACAGAACTCATCAAAGTATATATCTGTTTTGTTAAAGGCAAATCTAATCTCAGCCATCAAGCTAAACATTTAGCTGGCTATTTCAGACTAGCTAATTGTTTAACCATCAGTCCAATGGGAGGCCAGGAGGTGAAAGGCTTCTAGAGTTATTAAGCTTCACATTGAGTTGTCATTTGTTTCGTACAGTGACCCATTAGGATTCCTCAAGCAAAGTTCTAAAAGACAGAAAAGTGAAAACAGAGATGAAGTGTAACAACAGTGAGTTTTATCTCAGACTCGAGAGGCCTTTAAAGGGGGAGAATAGCTGCAGGCAGAATACTAGTTACTTTGTTAGCATTCTGTGCCAAACAGGATCTTTAACGTCCTTCTGTGTTTCAAGGGCATTAAGGTGAGACTACTGTCAGGTGTTCTCAAGCAGTAGACCACTGTGCTTCCTTCAGCTGCCATTAGCAATTAAAAGCTAGATATTTTTTTCACTGGATAGAATTAGTTCAGAGTTGAGTTTAAACTTTTAGATGCCAAAACTCCCATTTAATCTCATTTTTTGCTCATACAGAAGTGTGACCAGTGTGACCTTTACAGTGCACTGCAAAGAAATTCACATCCCATGAACCTTTCCACATTTTGTCAAGTTACAACTGGAACTTTTGGTGCAGTTGAAATTTTTTTGTGATAAAAGTAGCACATAATTGTAAAGGCTTGACTAAACATTGCTGGAGAAAATGGAAAACAGTAACAACAAAAAATCAGACTCCTGAATTTTTTTTTTTTTTTTTTTTTTTTTTTTTTTTTGGACAGATGAGTCTAAAGTTGAATAATTTGAGCAACAGAAGAGGATATGTTTGGCATTCCAGGAAAGGAACCACATGCGTGAATTCTGCCGTGTGTCAAAGGGTTCTTGAGGAAAATCTACAACTTCAGACCAATGTCAGAGGCTGGTGGATGGTTATAAGAAGTGTCTCACAGAAGTTACTTCACCAAAAGGGGATCTGATTAGTTATTAGGTGGTAGGGCATTCTATGGTGTTAAGCTGAACAGTGTGTCCCCGCATCCTTGAAACGCCCTAACATTCTTAAATTTATGTATCTTAAATGAAGGCCTTAAATTCATTTAGAAAAGATGTTGACCTTAAATTTGTTTGTCACAAATCTTATTTTTCTTTTTAACTATTTAACCTCATATTTTCTATGTAGTTCTTTGTTTTTCCATGTTTGACATTTTTGCCAGCCAAAGGTTTGAGTCATTCACAGATATCTTCATTTGTGGCTTCAGGGGGTTGAGGTTACTAAAATACAATTGCTAGCTATCTAGCTTTTTCTATTATGAGTTGAGTGCAAATTTATTGAGGTTGGCTGGCCGACTTTGCTGCTGGGTGACTCACTTCTGTTGCCAACTGTCTGTACTGCTTATATGTTTTATTCTTCATCTCACACATTCTTGTTTTCGTAACATTATTTTGTTTTTAAAAAATATATTTAATTGCAAAAATACTCATAGCAGTATACTTCCAAGTGAAGATGGCTTGCTCTTGGCTCTGAATGAGTTTGCTAAATGTGAGTAAGTGGTCAACGCTCTGGAGCCAGAGTCTTTTTTAAATCAAAAACCATTATGATGATCATTTTGTGTTTCACCAATGTTACAGCACTGACTTCACTGTTAAACTCAGTCGGTTCTACAAGTAAAGTTTTCCCTCAGCCTCTTCAGAGTTTTCTGCCTTTGAGTTTGTCTGAATGGAGCTGAAGTTGCGTGATCTGCTGCAGAGTCTGGTAATGTCTGCTATCCGGCGGGAGGGAAATTGCGCTGACGTCAGAGAGCGATATGATTCCTTTGACGTCAGAGCTTAGGCTGTGGGCTTCACATTTTCAGTATTGTTTGAGTGGGTTGAAAGCTGCAGCCCCCGCAGTGGTGCCGAACACAGCTGCTGATTGTGCAGCTGCTCCTTTGCCTGCACTGCTTCTCTCAAGGTCGGGAATGAAAATGTAGCCATGTGTTCTTTGTGCACGGCACCTGTCATACCCCTGTGATCTAAATTTTTTATTTTTTTTATTTTTTTTTGAAAAAGGGAACTTTTAATTGCTTTACCAAAGCTAGAGTGAAAATAGGTTTGACATCATTCATAGGGCCTAGTTGGCTTTAGAATAATAGAAGCCAATGTCATTTCTCCAAAGTTTACATATTGATTTCAGTTGATTCTCTGACACATGGATGTCAAACTCATTTTAATTTTTGGGCCACATCTAGATTGTGAATGTCCTCTAAAGACTGGTTGTGGCAGATTGTATTAAAAAAAAATAAGCTGAAATATGTACTGCAACTTTTACAAAAATGTTTTTTGCGCATATCTTTTAAATTGTCATGGCTCTACCAGCTGCTCAATATAATGGTCTGTCTTATGCAGTTTTTTTTAAATAAAAGTTACCTTCTGCAGCTTTAATGGACTGTTAATAAATAGATAACTTCTTAAAAATAAATAATTTGGAACATCTTTTCATATTAATGCAATATGGCATTGTATAAATAAAAACTGATCAATAAAAAAAGTAGTTAAGCACAAAAACATTATCTTGAGATTCTGCATTAAAGGGTCACATTAAAAGTTATGGAGGCCTTGAGTTTGAAACATTATGCTCTAACACCTCCATGTCTCTTATTGTGCTATTTTTGTTTTACATCAAGATTATATAAAGGAAATCTAAGATAGTACATAATCTGTTGTTAAAGTTGCACATAAATTTTTTTAGGAGATTAATACTAATAGTTTGAGAATAGTGCCTGAGAAGCAGGTAGACATGTACAACTTCCTGTTGGATCCAAAGCAAACACTGTGGAATGGATTTCTTATGCAGTATGGAGTTAATCGTTATAAGGGGGGGAAAAAAACACTTTTGAGAGAAAAGATGGATAACCGAAAGTGACTACATTCAATAAATAATGAAAGTGATTCATCATGAAAAGCTCCTATAAAAGCATCATAGACAGCTGATATACTTGTGGGAATAAGTATATCAGCCCTATAAGTATATAGGGTGCTGAATAATGATAATCCTTATTTTTATGCTGTTTTATTTTTATTTTATTTTTTTGTCTCTTCTTCTGTGGTTTGTGCTGTACGTTCAGATGGGATCAGCGTGACGGGTTTGCCGATCACCAGTCCTCTCCGACAGGTCCTGAAGCCCAGGGCCGAGACCAAGGCGGTGAGCAGCGAGTCCGGCAAGGCCGAGTACAGCCACGTCAAGGTAGGTAGAAACAACACTGCATGCACACCGCGGTGATGGCTTCCATTTCCATGTTCCATCAATCAGAGCTCTGTGAACAGGACGTCTTCACAGCCTTAAAAAGTCTAAAATTCTCGTATCTAAAATTAAGGACTTAAAATGTCTTAAATTCATTTTAAAAAGTAATTCGACTGCTAAAATTTTTGGTTACTATTGGTCTTAAATTTAGTCTTAGCCAGTCTGTTTAATTTTGTATATTTTATGTATTTTGTTTTTTCTCGCTTGAATTTTTAGTCAGGTGGAAGTTTGAGTCACACACAGACATCTTCATTGCATTTTGACTCGAGATGGCTGAGGCAACCGCTATCTTTCTAAGTTTCCAATATGCCCTTCCTAGCTAGCTAGCTTTTTGCGTCTTATCACGGGTAAGTGCTAATTTACCACCAGCTGGCTGGGTGGAACTTGTATGTTAGATTCAGATCTTAAATTCAACTCATAAAGGCCTTTAAATGGTCTTAAATTTGAGTTGGTGAAACTTGCAGAAACTCTTTGCGAAAGCATGAAGGCAAGATGGAACTGTTTCACTACATGGAGCAGATCTGAAGGGTTGGAAGATGCTTCATCCAAACACCCAAACGCCAAACCACCTGCAGTGATGAAGCTGGCATTGTTTTACCTTTCAAAGCCGGAGGGATCTTTTTATTTCCACCGTGAATCATCATGAGAGAAAACAGAAGTAAGATTTTCTGTTAAGATGTGCTGTCAAACGGCGTCTTACTTTTCTGGACAGTTTGACAGAATGATGACTAATAGATGAGAAAAAGACTGTAGGATGTTGCTCGTTCAAGGTCAAAAAACAAAAAACAACTTAGATAACTTCAACTAAAAGCAGATTTATAACTTTTGAAATCTTAAATATTTTTCCAAAAGTCATTTTAATTGAGAATATTTCATGCAAATAAACATAATTTAAGAGAAATGCCATTTCTAGTCTTTGAGACTTCTTTGTGGCATTTTTGAAAGCTATATGTCCTTATCTAATATAGATATGAGGTAAGCGTAATTACAGGTAAGTCATATTTTAAAAAAATCATTTAATACAGTTATTAAATTTAAGTGGTAAAACCCAAATTATGTAGCTCAATTACATACAGACAGATATATTTCAGGAGTTCATATCTGTTTATTTTTGATCAATATGGCTCAAAGCTAATAGATAGAACTATATGGTATTTGCAAAAATTCTAACATAATGTAAGGCCAATTAGAAAGAACTTTTCAGACAGAAATGCTGTATTGCCATTTTCACCATGATGGTGAAGATTGTGGACTTGGTAGAATGATGCTGAACAGCCGGATGGATGAAAAGCAGCCCAACATGCAACACGCCCAACATTACTCTGGTCACCATCACCAGTTTGCAGAACCCCTTTGCTACAATACTTTTTATTTTTTACACTATTCAAACTGAAACTCACATAGTTCTTAATTTTTCATCTTCTACGGAAAACGTGTTTTGTCAAGTGATTGCAACTCGTCAACGTGACACATAAGTCATTGCAGAGCAAAGAATCAACGATCCTAAAAGTTGGCTATTTGGTGCAACCTTTATTCTGAGGCCAGTTTGACTCCATGCTGATGATTCATTTTCACCCAACATTTAACTTCCTGGCTGATGTCTTTACATTTTGCTTAAATATTTCCTCATAATGTTCTTCTCTCTTGATGTCATATATTTTATGAAGTACAATAGTTTCACCCCCCCCCTTCAGCAAAACAGAGCCTGAACATGATTCTTCCACCCCATACTTTTAAAGTCGGGATGATTTCCTTTTACTTCCCCATCATGTCAAACCATGGAATGTCTCAGGTAACGTATCAGAAGTTTCCAAAGCCAGGACATTGTCATCTCAGCTTTCCTTTGTTTTTTTAAAGAGATGGTAACCATATTCTATATAAACGTCTGATTTTAAAGCCATTAATAAATAAATACTTATTAGCAAAAATGAGTATTTTTTGTCATTCTAACTGACCTAAAACAAGAGAAGTGTGGTCTGATTTAACTCTTGGTGTGACTTTTTATTTGGTGTATGTAAACTTCTGGCTTCAAATGTATAAATACAGAAGATGCCCAAAAAGGTTTGTTCATTAATGAAGCTTGATGTAAGTAGAAAACAACTCATTATGTTGTGATATTAAGTTCACAAACAGTTTGGCAGTGTTCATAGCACCAGTTTCATGAGAAACAAACTCAGAGAAATGCAAATGAATGCATCTCACTTTGAATTAAACACAACAAAGCCACATTTAATTACTCAGGTTAAGACCATCAATCCAGTTTAGTGGACCACTCCAGTTGTTGTTTCTCAGAAATTCAATACAGCTTTTGTAAACGGTGCCAATTCATAACTAAACTCATCTGCAGGCTGCTTCCAGAGAAAATGTCCAAGTCACTTTTAATGAAGGTAAAACAGAAAGAGACATTTTCTTTTGGCTGGACTTTCCAATTTTTCCCTTCATTTTTTGGCCCTGCTAATTCACATTGACTTTTAATCTCTTCCCCGTTTTGATGACACAGACTCACAAGCAATTATTTAATATCCTCAGATTAATAATTTTTCATCTCCAAACTTCTCCAAACACTATTTGAAACTATTACATTCATTTTCCTTTCCCCCCTTCATTTGAGAAAACTTTTTCGTATTTATGCACAGTTTTTTTGGGAAATAAAATAGCTTCTCTGCCGGACGGTTACATAAATTTTTGTTTCACAAGCAAAGTAAAAGCAACTTGAATGTAGTTTTTGACTGTAAAACAGAATATAGATTTAGACATTTGCTGTTGATATTCAATTCAGTTGAAAAAAAATCCCCAAAGGGAAATCGGAAACCTAAATGATTTTGACTATTGATTATTTAATGATTGATTGTAAACTAGAACATTAAGGCCCTGGTGTTTCAAATGTTTTCACTATTGTTTGGAAAAGAAAAGTCAATTATAAAAGTAAAATGCAACACATGTTATGTACTGTAAATGTAAAATGACATTCCAAGTTGTAAGTGTGTGTCCTGGTCTTTTTCTTAAGATGGACTTAATTCTGCTCTGGGGTTAATTGTAGTTTGACATCAGTCTGCTTGGAAAAAGAAAGTTTACGCAGATCGCCTCTATGCAATGTAGTTTATAATGCAGTAAATTCACCTCTCCCCTGTGGATGTATTGCATAACGTGCTTGGCATCCACCACCTATGCTGTGAAAAACGTAGCCTTTGTTAGAGGCGAGCCAGGCATTTTAATGAGATCTAAAGCTTACTAGAGGCAGCGTTTGACTGGCAGCGGGGCTTTTCAGAGCAAAGTGCAGCGCTGCAGCCTCGGCTAGAATCAAGCTAATTCTGTAAAGACTCTAAAATCTACCCGAAAGCTGCTTGTAAGAACATGAGCATCTTCTCTTTTAATGTTGTTTTCTGTTGTGGAAGGAGTTTTCATCTCGTTGTGTCCTGTTTACTGCAGTAAATACTCTGGGTTTCACTTCAGCCTTCTGGACTAGTGTTGGCATTTACTGGACAGAAAGCCACAACACTTACACATAATGTGAAGAAATGTCTTCAATATATATAGTATTCATAGTATACTCTATGGCATATTTTTTGTAGATATCTTGTTCTAATTTTTTAATCTTGTAGATTCTAACTTTGATTAAAAAAGAGCTCCATTTTTATTCTAGAGGTAGAATGAAAATGGAGGTTTTAACTTAGTTTCCGGTTGCTACCTCACTTGCAAACACTGCTGTTATATGGAGTCTAAACACCAGGGATCAGATTGTTTTTTTTCCCCCCACTTGAAACCTCTCCTTTTCTCCACAAATAAAAAATCCCAACTTGATTTATTCTATGACCAATTTCCCCATATTTATCAAATGCAATTATGTGTTTATTGCTGGCCTTTCCTTGTAAAGCACCGTTGGAGACTATCAGTATGTATAATCAATCAAGAGTGATCTGCAATCGGCACAGGAGGAGGCAACATGTTTATGTCCCTGACCTTTCATCGCTCAACCCGAGTGCCTGTTCCTCAGTTCTCCCACAAGCACAGCGTACCAGTGGGCTTGAAAAATGCAGATGCTGTCAGAACGGGATGGATTTGCCTCAGGTGAAAGGAGTCTGGCTGTTCCGATTTGTTAGGTTTTCCAGTTATATTCTCCATTTTTCAGTTGCTCACGTCTTAGGAGACATCCATAGCTTCCTTTAACAGCTTTTTTTTTTTTTTTTACTTCTTCACCATAGCTGTATGTCACTTTCCATTTCCCTGACCTCAGTAGGAGAACTTTTGGGCCCCAGGGTCTTTGGCGGTTATACTGGGGCTCCAGTAGCTTTATTACAGCTACTGTCTTAATCTTGAATGCCTCTCATTGTGGTATCATAGCAGAGTTTCCTTTGACCACACAGCTATGCAAAATGGAATTCCAAAATAAATAAATGCCAATTTTGAAAAAAAAACTCATGGTTTTCAAGAAAAAGTTTTTTGCTACAATGAGGTGGTTTTTCAGCTGTTTTGAAGTTAGCATATTTTGCTAAACTACAATGGAAACACTTTTTATCACACGAGTCACATGATGAATAGCTGGATGTTGGTACTGGCGGAAAAGTCAAGGTCGACGACAGGAAGAGATAGGAGGATGATGGAACGGCATGCTTTTTTAAATCAAATTATTAAACTTATTCATGTATTAATTTAATTACTTTGTGAGATTGCGTTTTTTCTACATTAGTTGAATATCGACAAAGCTTTGCTCACATTTGTGACGGAAATGCAGCTAGTGGGTGTTGTGGGTATTTGCAACCTCTAAATCTATCATCCTAGGATTTGTGTGAGTGAGAGTAAAAGTAACCATAATCCCACCTTTGTAGTTTCCCTCCTCTCACCGTAAAGACGGTCAGTTTTCAGTCTGACTCATTCACTTATCCCACTGTGGACTGAGTATCTTCACCAGACACTGACTTTTGTTTGGGCGAGTTTCAGCGGAACCCATTATATGGAACAGGCAGGTTTATTAAAACACTCG